GTCCAAATGAGGCCCTCACATTTTCCCCTTTATTGATCGTAAAACTGTCTCCGTTATATAACCTCACCCCGTACCTAACGAGACAACAAGTGCCAACGCCGTCTGGAAAATATGACGAATTACGAAAACTAGACGCCCTGTATATGCTTTTGACTAATAAAAAGCTTCGATTCCAGCCACAAGCCCGAAAAAAAAAAAATGGAACATCAAAGAAGAAGAAACAAAAGCAGGTTCCATTAAAACGAGTGAATTTTTTATAGAAAATATCTGTTGCCGGCTTCACGCTGCTTAAGGCGAAGCTTGGAATGGCTGACTTTGACCTTTTTTTACAACCGTCTGCCTGAGAAATGACATTTTCCTCAGGAAAAACCACTTTCCCGGGCACGAAAACTTTTCCGCTGAGATTACAAGTTTCAGATAAAGACAAACTGGCGACTGATTGTATAATAAGAATAACTCCTTTTGCACGGTGAATAACCCAAATTGACGTATTACTTAATTAATTGAATAAGAAATGACACAAATAAGTGTAAAGGGAACGAGCATTTTCTTTCGTTTTGTGGTGTTATAGGCGGATGATGAGGATATCGTGGGTAGAAAAGGTTAGAAATGAAGAGGTATTGGAAAGAATAGGAGAACAGAAGACTCTATGGAAGTCAATAAAAAATAGGCGAGATAGGTTGGTAGGACACCTTCTCAGGCATGAAGGTCTAGTCAGAGACATATTAGAGGCAGAAACAGGAGTTAGGAGGGGTAGAGGTAGACCTAGATTAGATTACTGTTCGCAAATAGTTAAGGATGTGGGCTGTTCTAGTTTTAGGGAAATGCGAAGTTTAGCTCAGGATAGGAAAGACTGGAGGTACGTGTCCAACCGGTCTTAGGACTGATGACCTTATGATGATGATGATGATGATAGAGAGAGAACTGTAGATACAAATCATATATGTAGTTATACCTTCTATAATAACGTTCTGATAGTTAGATAAAGAAAAACACTAACAGATTTAAAATGAAAATACATAAAGTATGGTGTAGACTGTAGAGACCGTTTTTCATTTGTTATGACCAGTGATGAAAATCCCCGGAAAACGTTCACATGTCCCCGACGAGATGTTTCCGAAAGATACTCACGCAAACTTTACTTTTAACCACTTCAAAGGGTTGCGGATCACGTAATTAATGCAAGGGATAAAGACCTACACGGCGTCTTCCGTTTAGCCCTTAAAAGCGTTAGCATCCCAGGCCGTATGCCAATCAGATTTGACACATCAACCACAAACGTTTTACATTTCAAAAAATCATAAAATCATTATTAAACCCTTATTTATTTAGGTGACGCTTACAGTTTTGGAAACTATGTAGTTGAAAAGAGCATCCTCACGCTTAAGGTAATTTTTAATTCGCACCCACTAAGAAGTTAACCCGTAGCTCATTTTAATAACAAATACTTATTTGGAGCCGCACCTAATCCAGGTGGTTTCTTTGTATTGTGTTGATTTAGGTAGGGAGAGTAGATTGGGTTATGACAAGTAAATACCATCTCCCTAATTCCGAGGGGCTTCTCATACTCTGTCATAGGAGAGACTTCAAAAATTTTTCCGAAAAGGTACCACTTGATCACCAATTAATACCGAGCGGCATGGCCTAGAGGTTTAGACCATTGCTTAGCATTCGGGAGGACGCCGGTTCGATTCCGGGTCCGTCTGCCTTGGTGCAACTTTTTCTGTGGTTTTCTTGGATCAATTAGGTAAATGCTGGGGCAGTAATATTCCACAGATAATCTTTCATTTTCCTCTTTCTTCATTTCGTCCGTCTCGTCTTTCTCACCCGAACCACCACCCACCCATTCCCACGATTCCTGCAAGCAGGCTGAAGAGGTCCTTCCGTCTTACCTTCCGGCGTTGTCCGGAGGGACTGCCCGTCCACAGGCATACCTCGCTGGTGGGAATGAAACACCCAAAAGTTAAAGTTTTCACCAATTCAGTGGTTCGAAGAAGATTTACCAAATCTTCAACCCCCAACTAGATCTTATGAGAGAAACCCAAAACATGTAGTGGTCCTAATGCTACATTATATAGCTCACTTCAAATAGGACCCGCACAAGATAATTTTGATAGGATCCAGATGTAACGCCTTAGAAATATTTGAGCCGTCTGGCAACCAAACTTGGTCCACTAGATGGAGTTATCCTATGAGGACCTGTTTAGGTTATAGGTATCATTTGACCTGATCATGTCAAATCTAATTAGACTCATTCTTCTAAGAGTTTTTATTTTTTTTTTATTTTTTCTCAGGAGGACCCCATGCGGCATTCGTAGTCGATCCAAGGACTCGCTTTACCGACCAGGACTTTTTTGAAAAACATCAAACTCCAACGCTGTTCAACCCCCGAACGTCACGTACCCATACGAGATTCATTGAAGACAGCTTAACTTGCAAAGAAAAATCCCACGAGAACCCCCGGACACAAATACGTATACACAAAGCCGCCTATGTAATCAACCCCCCAACAAAATACATTATAAATACTGAGACCTAATTATATATGTATATGCATGTAGGAACGTACATAGTGGCGGGTATCTGTAGGTAGATGCCTACAGATCCAGAAAAATTTATTCACATCCCTCGATGCTGCGTATGAAAAAAAAAAAAGAACGCTGAACTAGATTAAGGGTTGTTATGGTTATAGCCCTCTATCCGCCGTGATACCTGCTAAAGCGCATGACGGAAGGCATTNGGACTGCCCGTCCACAGGCATACCTGGCTGGTGGGAATGAAACACCCAAAAGTTAAAGTTTTCACCAATTCAGTGGTTCGAAGAAGATTTACCAAATCTTCAACCCCCAACTAGATCTTATGAGAGAAACCCAAAACATGTAGTGGTCCTAATGCTACATTATATAGCTCACTTCAAATAGGATCCGCACAAGATAATTTTGATTGGGACCAGACGTAACGCCTTAGGTATATTTGTGGCAAGTATGGCAACCAAACTTGGTCCATCAGATGGAGTTATCCTATGAGGACCTGTTTAGGTTATAGGTATCATTTGACCTGATCATGTCAAATCTAATTAGACTCATTCTTCTAAGAGTTTTTATTTTATTTTTATTTTTTCTCAGGAGGACCCCATGCGGCATTCGTAGTCGATCCAAGGACTCGCTTTACAGACCAGGACTTACACAGCAACACTGGGACGGAGTATAGTGTTGTTATTAGCCGCGTATACATGAGAGGGAGCGTTGGGTACAATTGCCCCCCTCCTCCAAATGCCCTAAATCATGACCGAAGGAAGCAGTTTGCTTTGACAAACAGATGTTTGATCAAATTTTTGGTATAGAGGGTGGGTGGTTTGTATAAAGTGGTGCCTAGATTTTATTGGCTTTCAAAATATCATTCNATATATATATATATTTATATGTATCCGTCAAATTAATGGCAAGTTTTGATTAATAAGTTACATAAATCATATAAAAGGAATAGGAATACGACATACACACAAAAAGAAACAGCTCCACTAGACTAGTGTCATTTTTCCGCATGTTAATTACCGCCTTTCTAAACAATACGTAATTAATTAGATAGAATAACCTGGATTCAAGTTTCAGCAACGAAAGAGGAAGATAAGAAAACTCACCGGTCAATTCTGAGAAACGAATTGCATCCAACGGGTCCAGTGTTTGAAATAAATGCACAAAACGAACAAACAAAAAGCCCGGTGACACTTGTGAACACTATGAATCGGCTTTTTCAACGTAATGTGCACAATTTGAGAACAAACATCACTTTTGAAAAACATCAGAAAACTTTTGTTCACGAAAAGAAAAAAAAAAGAATTTCCATGGACGACTTTATTTACATCAGTGACTGGCTGGATGACATGAAGGGTCAAACGACAGCGTGTTGATGATAAGTCAGTTATCAAGTAAATAATACCGTATATGTTATTATTATTATTATTTTTTTGTTTGTGTCAGATCTAGGTACCTATTAATATATTACTTAAACATAATTAATTCTAAATTAACGTTCCCGTTAGATATGATGTTATACATATAATGCCCATTTTGACATTTAATAATTTTGTACACTTATGTACATGCTATGTAGTATATGCTCACGACTAGGTATATAGTGTATCTACTATTGATGGGTTCCAAGAAGAAAACGGTTGGATAGAACCGCCCACTTGTGTTGCATGGGTCTGGCATCAGCAACATATTGTTCATGTAGTTAGTAAATGTTTATTGTTAATGCGTTGAAAAGTCGGATTTTCCTAGAACTTCGTATGTTCCAAGAAGAACCATTTTCTGCTGCTTCAACTGCCAACGAGAAGAATTGAGCTTCAGTTAGTAGAATTTCTTTTATTGGTGCTCTTATTCCATGTAGTCTTTATCTTATTTCATGACCATTTAATTGTAGATTATTATTAACAATACCGAGAACATTTATTACTAATTATGTACTTGGATAATTAAAACAACTGCTATACGCTTCCACTGCGATAAGGACATTCCTAATTAGAAAGAATACTTCACTCATTGGATCTTCCGGACGATCAGAGATTCCACCGGCTCCGTTGAAAGCAATATCTTTGCCCAGTCTGGAAGCACCCTCTTTGTTCTTTTACAGTGATAACTCATTCATAATAAGCAAGTACTAGGTGCCATTTGGAATAAGGCCATTCCATTTCCCAGTGAAAGGCATCCCCTGTTAATCCTTGAGGTATTTTAGAGTGATCTACCGTACCTTTTTTATAGAACATATGACCTATATGAGTGACATTCGGGAAAGAACTCAACCTACGATAAGTAGTACCTTTCAGTGAAAGAACTACTCAAACTTCTTTGAAATTCACTTTTATATCCCAGTAGAAACAAGGATTTGCTTACAGTAACTTATCTATTATTTTTTGTACAAAATTCTTGCCAATTCAGGGTTATTAATAAGAAGGTACATAAGGCCTAAGTAGTCGTTCAAGCCCTAAAGCTACTTACCGAATTTTCTCTGTCTAAACGACTTGAGCAATAAACCTAGCAATGGTGGTAATCCAAAGTTGTGCACATTTTTTCACAAAACAGTCCACAATACTGCCAGCAATAGAAGTAACCGGCAGCCGACGTATTACATTCTGTACGTTTCAATAATGAATAGGCCGAGGGACCAATTCCAGGCAAATTTTTACGACGGTCGAGGAGACCTCTTCGAGGGCCGTCGATTCTACGAATCCAAAGCCATCCCGTCGCACAACGTTACCGAGAGGCCAGTATCCGGAAAACTCAGACGACAAGACGGAAAAAAGCTCGGATAACTTTCGAGAGAATTCTCATGTAATAGTTCGACGCTGTGTGTGTCATCCGTTTTAAAAGCAGCGGCAGCACGCACATAGACTCACTTACAAACACCGATACACATACACGCATACACACGCACACACACAGAGAAGACCATAACCTTATTTTGCGCACATTTCAAAACCCCTTCCTCGATTTCGTATAAACGCGCGAACGAAACGGTTTGAAAACGTCGTCGCACTTTGACGGATTATTCTTCATAAAAACCGACGATGTTAAAAACAATTGTCGTAGTGGACGTTGGTGTTGTGTTTTATTCCACGGCTCGGTACGATTTCGCTCGGCAGACTGGTGAGTTTCCCATCTGACGGCGGTCTGAACGACTGCGAGAGGTAAATAAACGACGGAGAGCCTATGTATCACTTCCCCCTTATGTACCTCGCAGTACATATTTACACTGTACACACTCACACAAATATACATGCAGATATATAAGTGTCTATGTATTTATATAGACTACGGTTCTCTCCACTGCCGGCTGTTACTGAAGGTTTTGTTCAAGCGAAGTACACTGTAAAAATATGGAACCGGTTTTATGACATTATAAAAGTTTCTCGTTATAAACGAAATATTGCACTGACGATGAGCGTAATAAGAGGAAGAGAGAGTGCGTTCGTGCGTGCAGGACCGGGGAAATTTCCCATGTGTGCAACGCACACTTTGAACACAAATAATAATATACATAGACGTTATGTAAACGCGCCGGTATATAGATCGATACATAAGCGCTAAATACATTATGGGTCTATGTAAATGTACATGTACATGGACTTGTGGGTTGATTAATTATATACAGACAAACAGCCGTTCACCGCGCAAGAAGTACGTTAGCTACAAGTACATCGATATACATAGACATTGGAGCAATTATATTTTATATCTGGTCGATATCAAATTAATATTGTTAAGATATTGAGTTTTCGAAAGCATGTATTATGGAGTTTCTTCTTCTACATCTTCATCTTCTTGTGCTTCCGTGAAATAATGTTACTCCAAGTATCTAGGATTTGGATGGACGACATTCAGCTATCATTTTTGTATTCAATCTGGGAACCTTTAAATCTTTCTCTATTGATCACCAAGTAGTTAATTTTTTTTCATCTTCGGTTGAAGTTACGATAATACTTTAAAAAATAAGACGGATTCCAAGATTCCAATTGCGGGTTATTGAGCAGGATCTCCTGTTGTTAACCCTTGATGGTTTTCTATTGCTAAATTGTGGTTACAGTTGCAATTAGTCACCATTTTTGTACTTGCGATTCTTTATTGATCTCTAAGTAATAATTCTTTATTTATTTTGGAATTGTGGTGTCTAGAAAGGTTTACGGAAGATATCAGGATTCCATCACTCAAGCAGGACTTCCTCTTCCAAACACCTCCTAGGCTAGAATTTGCTTACTATTATAAGTCTGTAATATTTGCATTCCGGATCCATGACTCTCAAAAAAAGTTTGCAAACGCTCAGTTGATTTTTCTTTATCTTCAATTGGTAGCCCTGTCATTTAACGACTGGACTGATGAGGTGATTTAAAAGTAATGGATCAGATCATCAAGTCTCATTTAAAATGAGGATCCCATCAATGATGACGACGAGATGCTCCATGGATCTTACTAATGCATGGATTCCGAATACTGGATTCCTCCATGGGCCATCATTGACTATCTTCCATTGTCCTTCTTTTTATTGCATCTCTTACTCCATCGTCCCAATCTTTTACCGGTTTCTTCTCCTCCTTCGTCGTTCTATTGAGATCTAGTCTCATATCCTTTGGAGTCATCCGTTTGTTTGCGTTCTCCTTAAATGTCCACAGCACATCAATCTGATCCTTTCTATGTCGTCTACGATTAAGTTCGTTTCACGTAAACTCTTTCGCATTTCTTCTTTTCTCAGACCTTCTAACCTAGACACCCTATGGCTTCTACGACTTTCTTTCTGATCAATATGTTGCAATACTTTTGAGTACGCTCTTGGTACCTACTAATTTTAGTGTTTGTGTCGATTAGTTTCAACTATAGCAGTTTAGTTTATTATACGTTTCATCATCATCAGGTCATCAGTCTTTAGACTGGTTGGACACGTACCTCCACTCTTTCCTATCCTGAGCTAAACTTCGCATTTCCCTAAAAATAGGACTCACTCCGTGATAATAACATGAAGACTAAGACAGTGACATCCTAGGTCGAGTATACTCCTTAGGCTGTATGTATACGTCATTATTAAAAGTCAAATGGACTTCAGAAACTCTTTACTTGAAGATTCCATTTAAGAAGATATGCTTCATAACTGATGGAAGAATAATCCAGATGTTTTTGGTCTTCCTACATAGGACGAATTACAAGAATATTCCCATTTGGAGAGTCAAATGTACGAAACGGAGTTCATATTAAGGGTATGAGCAAAAATCGTAGGATAAATGAATAAATAAGGTAATTTTTAAACAGTAAGGTATACGAAAAAGAGTGTCATCAATATCTTGGACCAATGGTCCCATAACGGCTTGATGTGGAGAGATTCTAGTTGGTAGGTCCTCTGCAAAGGGAGAATCCAACACTACTCAGTTGTAAGAACGATTGGACATCTATTGATTTACTTTCCTTTTCCATAAAAACAAGTCTCCTGGGATGCATGATAATATTCCCTGAATAAGAGGAATTTAAGTAAAGTCCCATGTCCAGTGCTTTTACATCCCTGACAGGTCTTTCTCCTTCTTTCTAGATGTTACGATTGCCTATTCTGCATATGCAAATGTAAATCTTCCGGTAACACACTCAATACAACACCTTATTACCCTTAAATGTTCCCAGACGTAAAAAGTGACGACCACGAGGAGAAATCTAGGCGGCCGCGACGAATATAGCGGTAGCGAACGCGTCGTCGGTTTTTTATCATTCCTTCTCATTCTCTCGCACTGGTGTTCAATTCACTCGGAGACGTCGGTCGTCCAAGAGATCCGACCTCGCCTTCGCCTGCATGTGTGTGTCTGTCTTCTGTTGGTTTGTGTTACTGTGAATGTGTATGTGTGACGTTGCGAGTGGGTACCCTGTTAAGCGCGGCTGCCCATTTTAACAGTGCACTGCTTCACTGGTTGTAACTTCTCGGTTCTCTCTCGCACTGATTCATTGGTGCATAATCCGCCACAAATATTGTCTCCACTACGTTCGAGCTCTCTTGATCAAGGATGCACATTTTCACTGTTTTTATCGCAGTTGCCTCGGTTTATTTGATCGCGCCGTTATCGGTTGTTTGTTTCAAAATTACGATAATGATGACGGTTGGGTGGCAATTTTGATAAGCTTCGTGATGATAAGGGAGCATGGACGCAACTTGAAAAGGTAAACCGAAAATTCATTCCTTCACACGGAGGATGTTCCTTAAAATTAAGGAATGTTACAGGAATTTCGTCCAGTAAAGAATGCAAATACAACTGCTAACGTCATTCCAATTTAACTAATAGATAACTGTGACTTCAAAGATTTATGCCCGTTTCTATATTGAACGTTTATCCAATACCTATCATCATCCTACACCAGTTGAAAATGATTTTTGTAATTCTTCCTATTTTCTCATTACGAAATTTCCTAGAGTTCATATCATCATCACAAGGTCATCAATCCTAAGACTGCTTGGACACGCACCTCCACCCTTTCCTATCCTGAGCTAATTTTCGCATTTCCCTAAACCTAGAACAACCCACATCCTTAACTATTTGCGAACAGTAATCTAATCTAGGTCTACCTCTACCCCTCCTAACTCCTGTTTCTGCCTCTAATATGTCTCTGACTAGACCTTCATGTCTGAGAAGGTGTCTTACCAACCTATCTCGCCTATTTCTTATTGACTTCCATAGAGTCCTCTGTTCTTTTATTCTTTCTAATACCTCTTCATTTCTTTTTCTACCCACGATATCCTCATCATCCGCCTATAACACCACAAAACGAAAGAAAATGCTCGTTCCCTTTACACTTATTTGTGTCATTTCTTATTCAATTAATTAAGTAATACGTCAATTTGGGTTATTCACCGTGCAAAAGGAGTTATTCTTATTATACAATCAGTCGCCAGTTTCTCTTTATCTGAAACTTGTAATCTCTACCCCTTCTAACTTCCGTTTCTGCCTGATATGATATGTCTCTGACTAGACCTTCATGCTTGGGAAGGTGATTCTAACAACCTATCTCGCATATTTCTTGTTGACTTCCATAGAGTCCTCCGTTCTCCTATTCTTTCTAATACATCTTCATTTCTAGCCTTCTCTAGTTCTATTAATTTTCGGATTGTCATGATCTCTTTTATTAAATTCTTAACGAATCATGCTACTTAGTTATCAACCCCCCTTTTTACCAGACTCCTCTACTCCTCCTAATTCCCGTTTCTGCCTCTAATTTGTCTCTGACTAGACTTGCATGCCTGAGAAGGTGTTTTACCAACCTATCTCGCCTATTTTTTATTGACTTCCATAGAGTCCTCTGTTCTCCTATTCCTGTGCCTGTTCCCCAAAGTTCCTTCCTTAGATTTTCTTGTTAAATATCCAATATAACTGAACTTCTTCTTCTTCCGAATCATCTGGATTTACAATATAAAAACTGACATTTTGAAATGACATTTCTCATTTTCCCAAAATCTCCTGGAATTTATTTGTAGATATCACATAACTATCTCAGATTCTTACAATAATTCTTATATTTCCTTACACAAAATCCTTGGTTAAATCAGTTTTATCTTCTTCTTGAATATTGTGTGAATAATCTTCAGTGTGAAGTATCTCTGACAATCCAAAATGCACTGTAAAATCGCTTGAAATAACTTTCGACTTTTATAAATGTTTGTACCTCTACAACAACTTTTTTAATTAAATCTTTCGAATGTTTACCATAGCTATTAAAGTTGTTAAAAATGAAGTTTCAAGTTGAGGTCAAAATCTTCTGAAAAAAATCGGTTGAAACATCTTTAATTTTTTTATTTCTTTCCATTCGTTGCTTAATCAATTCCTTCAAAACGTCTCATTTTCTCTTTGAAGATCGGGAAAAGTTACGGTTTGAAATACGACACATATCTCCAAAGTTTCTTGGAATTGACGTGCGCCCGATTTTTCGTCATATCTTTGACCGATTACGTAGTAAAATGCTCTGAAGGATCGGCATTAAACGTTCAGGACACTTGACCTTATTCCTTTCTCGAAAAGCATCTCTTACGTCAATATGTTTCATCCAACCTACACGTCGCCTCATCAAAGAGGGTGAGATTTATTACCTAACCCTATTTTATAGCGTGGTTGTAACACCAAACCTCCTACAAATGTTCGCAGTTTAAGCTCAATGTTCACTGACGTCTTATCATTGCTCAACTTAAACTTTACGTAGTATACTAAAAATTGTGTGTTCCTTCGGTAACAACAACTAAAAC